AGTTATATCTATAGACTTTCTAACCTATTTTTTATTAACAGTAAAGTATATACAAAATTCATACACATCATTTTTGTCTGGAGCTGAAATTGTGCCATTCCTCATCAAATACTAAACCGCATTCTGCATTTAAGTCTTTATTTTGCTCTTATTCTGAATTCCAGAAAATATTATTGCTTTGCTGAATCTTTATTAGAGAAAGTTGAACCTACTGATATTCTAATCAAAAAACTCCATAATAGTGTAATTTAAAGCATTTACTTTTACCTGAAAATATTATCGTGTACGAGATGGTCTAAATTAATATAGGAAATTATGACACCTATTAAAATAAATAATAGGATTCTATGCCTTATATATGATGCACTATACAATTATTTACTCTGTATTTGTTGTGATTAACTCTAATCAATAACAGTTATATACATCCATCATAATAATTTTTGAGAAGAACTTCAAAATTAAAATGCATAGTTTCATGCTTATCTTTTTAATTTAAAATGTTATGATGCTGTAAAACAATGAAGATTCAGGCCCTCTAATGCTTTGAAACTCTTTTTTTGAAGAGTACAGAAAATTCAACCGCATATACATTGTATTCTGATGGTTTAACTGGAAATGACTAATTCTTTGAGTGATTTACTCATACTGAATATGATAAATTTCTTCCTGTTTCCCTGGATTTGATTTATATGAAGAATCACCTGCTTATTGAATTAGAGGAGCGCCATCTATCAAGCCTCCAAATCCTTACTTGCTTTATACTTATTACAACCTGCTCCTATACAGTATCTAAAAGTTTATGCACACACAAGTATAGATAGTTTTCTTTGAGTGGAAATGATAATGCAGAATTTGCATAGGTGTCTGCTATCAAAATGAAAACTATTGGTTTTTAATAGAGTCCAATATCTTCCGTTAACAATTTTGATCCTTATATGTCTGACATGATGCAATCTTTATTGTATGAATAGAAAGTGTAACTTTAGCTCATAAATTCACCAAATAGTGCATCATCAAATGTAAAGAAGGGATGTTAGTGCAATTTAAAGCTGTGCAAATAGTTATTAAGGAAACTGAGAGAATTGCTGCATAATATATTTTTGAATATTTTGTAGCTTAATGATATATTTTTTTATGACTGCATTAATTATGTAAGAAATGAACTGGAAATGTTACAAATTCTATATTATGTGATATTGGTAACACTGGAGAAAACTGTTTATCAATATATAGCGAAGATATTATAGAAATAAAAAGTAAATCTGAATTTAAATAAAACATTTTTTTATTAATAGAATGGCAATCTTATTCTTGCTAATTTATTGAACAACTCAATGAAGCCTAAGAGATGGGTTTTGGTTGATACTACCCTTATGATTCACCCAACCTTAATATGTAGTACTGTAAAAAAATGGAAAATTGAACACAGGAGATGATTTGGATAAATTTATTTAACTTAGGTCAATTATAAAATATTCATTTTCAACTGTAAATA